GTTTGGAGCCTGAGGGAGTTAATTTTTGTGTTTGGGACTGTCACGGGCTGTGGGGGAGTCCCCAGGCCCTGCACCCCCATCCACAGCCAGACATGACTCTCAGCTAGCAGGTAGAACAGAAGATTTATCCGTTGACAGGGACACAGTATAGCACAGGATCATTGTTAATACAGGAACCAGGAGCAGTCAGTATTATTCCTGTTTGGAGCCTGAGGGAGTTAATTTTTGTGTTTGGGACTGTCACGGGCTGTGGGGGAGTCCCCAGGCCCTGCACCCCCATCCACAGCCAGACATGACTCTCAGCTAGCAGGTAGAACAGAAGATTTATCCGTTGACAGGGACACAGTATAGCACAGGATCATTGTTAATACAGGAACCAGGAGCAGTCAGTATTATTCCTCTCAGGGAGAAGGGGCTCTGGGTCCTTCTCCCCCCCACTCCCTTCCTGCTCTAAGCCCCATTCTCTCATCCTAAACCGGGCAGAGAGAGTGTCCTTCCCCTAGGCCCTAGGCCCCAGCTTGCAGTCAGTCCTGCCTACACTTTGTTTCCCCTTCCTGGGTAGAAGTTATCTTCTATGGTCTGGCCCTCAGGTGTGAGAGGCCGAATACACTTCTTCAGTGAGTTATACCCCCCCTCCTTCTCCAGGCAGTATTGCAGTGCCCAGGGAAGCCGAGGCATGCACACCCACACAGAGTCACCACAGAACAGCACAAGACAATAGGAATCACAAACTGCACAACAAAACAAAGCGAACAGAGTGAATACAAAACGGAGTGGACACTGTGACTACAAGAGTTAATATGATCCCCACTACCTCACAGGGACTAGCTGAGTGTCATTGTAAGGGAATTTTTGGTTCCATTTTCCCCAGTAAATGCTTTTGGATATTTTGAATACGAATGTCCTCCTCCCTCTCCTGACACACCATCTTTTAAAGTATATAGAATATAAACCCATAATCAGCAAATTAGATAGAGAAGACAGAAAGTCTTGTCTTGGTCCCATGTGACTATAAACAAGTAGTTCCCTGATGTTACCTGGGACCTTTCTCTATACAGGCAGTCCCCGGGTTACGTACAAGATAAGGACTGTAGGTTTGTTCTTAAGTTGAATTTGTATGCAAGTCAGAACTGGTACTTATTGTAGGGGAAACTCTAGCCAAACATTTCTCCAGAGCTCAGTTTTATTCTCCCACACCTCACTTCCCTCAGTCCTTTATTTTCAAGCTGAGGTGTCTGCTGAGAAAAGCTGCTCCGCGTCTCCCTGGTCTGCTGAGGGAGGCGCTAGCTTCGCGTCTCCGTGGTCTGCTGGGGGGAAGCAGCTAGTGCGGGGTTGCCTCACCCCGTTTGTAAGTAGGGATCTGATGTAAGTCGGATCTATGTAACCCGGGGACTGCCTGTATTTGAAATATTGCAGATACTTACGAAAACCTATATTTGTCTCCACTGAGCAGCTTTTTGGAAAAAACGTTCTGCAAACTGGGGAAATAAAAATCAAAACATTTATCTGTAGACTCTACTTAAAGGGAGCAGAGGAAACAATGATCTTAGCAATATTCATAACACAGAAAGTGAGTTTTTTGATAAAACACTAGCTGACAATCACATACTACTTCAGGTTTACAAGTTGTGTGTGTTTAAACAAAATATTTTACAGATCAGAACAATGTAACTTCTTTTTCTATAACACAATTACTGTTTTGAACAAAATCTTCCAGGATTTATGAAGCTACCACAATACAACAATGGGAGAATATCAAAATAAAATATGGTCTAACAAGTGTACTACTTTTTTTTTAACCAGCTAAGTCTGAGATTAATTTATTACTGTTTATGGAATATGCACAAATCACCAATCTTCTCCTCACCTTCCATATAAATAATGACATACTGCAAGTGAAAATGCTAATTTACATTTACATTGCCTCATTAATTTTTAACATTCAGAAGTAGTGTAAGGTTCCTTTGCAGTTAGCATTTTAAATATAAATGGTGTAGAATTTAAATTTTTAAGTGCTTTATAGACAATTGAACAACAATATTCTTTGTTTCCCCTTACTGTTCAGCTGTGCTCTAGGACAACGTTTCTGAAAGTGCTCCACAAAAGCACTTTGAGAAACACATTAACTGGCTGCCCTGGTTTGTTTATTTACTGGTGCCGTGGCCACAGAGCCTTGCGGCTTTCATTGGCTCCATTTCTTCCCAGCCAAGGGGAGCTGCGGGAAGCAGCGTGGACTGGGCCACCGCTTCCCGCTGCTCCACTTGGCTGCACAGAGCTAAATGGAACCAATGGGAGCCGCGAGGCTCTGTGGCTGCAGCGCCAGCAAATAAACAAACTGTGGCAACCAGTTAACGTGTTTCTCAAAGTGCTTTCCCGGAGCACTTTCAGAAACACTGCTCTAGGAAACAGTGAAAAAAATTAATACAAGGCAAGCATATACAGCCAGCGATAGTACAGTCCATTGATATGGGGATGTAGAACAAATGAGTGCATAGTTATTCAATATTCAGACTAATTTACAACACTACAATTAAGCAAAAACAGAAGCACCATACCTGATTTGCAGGTACATAATGTAAAAATAAAAGGAGGTACACACCCCGCTCATATGTGCACTTGCATCTGCCTTCAGATATGCACAAAAGTGATGTGAAATAGAGGCTAGATTCCTCCCAGTCTTGCACCTTAAGTAGGGTGACCATCCCTGTATTTAATCTGTCTCCCAGGCTTCCCAACTTTTTTTTTAAAAAAGGGGCAAAATGTCTCACATTTGCACACCCTCTGCTGGTCCTTGAGTTTCCTGTTCAGAGCAGCTGCAGCAGCCTTCTATTTGTGGCTACGGTTGCCAGCTGTCCGGTATTGGCCTGGACAGTCCGGTATTTGTGGCCTCTGTCCAGGAAAAAAAAAACAGAAAATACCGGACATGTAAAATGTCCGGTATTTTCTGTTTTTCTTGGATGGAAGGCCGCTTGGGGCATTCTTCCCCTGCCATGTGTGGGGGTGGAGAGAGTGGGGGGATGTAAAGGTGCAGTGAGTTTTTTTTTTTCCCCGGTTCAACAACTTTGGTCCCCCGGAAATTTTTTTTCCCCCCCGCCATGTTTGGTATTTTTTGTGAAAGTATCTGGCAACTGTATTTGTGGCTGGTGGTAAAGCATTCACCAGCACTTGGTATGTGGAGTCAGGCAGGGCGCCAAGGGAGAAACAAAGTAATAGTTTCCCTTCCTGTGCACTCTAAAGAAGAGGGTGAAATCTGCTGAATCCCTGACCACTGGCTTCCTCCAGGACTATAACCCCTTTCTCAAGTGCCCTGTCCCATTTCCTCCCTCCCCCCTCCGGGTCTGGATCCCCAACCACTGGCAGCTCACCGCCCCTCCATTACAAGGCTGAAGCCTTGAATGCCGCATGGTGTCCCGTATTGGCATAGGAAATATGGTCACTCTAACATTAAGTATTTATTTATTTATACTTGTGCTAAATAAATACAAATGAATATATGTGGAGAGTCACACCTACAATCATCTTGTGTTACTATTTTGTTTTACACAGGGATTTTTGGACCCCAATTAGATCTAAAAGGCAAAATTTCTAAAGGAAATGATGTGGCTGGACATGAATACCTAATCCAAATACATTCCAACACTGGCAATACCAATGTCCCCTGTAAACAATTCTGGGCCAAATATTTGATATTTCATAAACAAAAATTCCCAGCAGTCTGATTATTTTTAATTGTTCACCATTCAACGGAGACACACAACTGATGAGTTTTGTAGATAATCCTGATAGTCTTAAACATAAAGAGGAATCAGAAAGCTCTCAGCATTTTAGTTTATACTTTTTACCTTGCAATCAGATATGAAACGTCTTCTTTACAGAGAGAACACTATTCTGGTAAGTGAATCTAAAAAGCCTCATGGCTTTCTAATTACTTTGAGTTTAACTATAGTCATTAATGATTTATCATGCTTGAAGTTTTCATGTTTCATGTGTTATCCAACTCTGTACTCATTGTTAACCTTGCCTATTGAAATATTATCCCAATAACCTAACTTAGAGTGCTTCAATAATCTTGTTAGCAACATTAAAAAACATATATGCTTAATCTTAAATTTAGAGTTGTTAGCAATCTTCCATAATATATTAGTTGCAACATACTTGAACAGTAGCGGGTTTATTCATGTCGCAATTCTTCCATAAGATGTTCACATATTTTATTCAACATAAGCAACTTTGTGTAGTCACCATTTGATTTCACCAGCAATAAGAATCTGCAGTTTGTTGGCTTTATCCCACTCTTCGCCTGATAGTTAAAAGAAAAAGCTACCACAGACTACAATCCAGGATACCACTAGCCACAAATGACAAAATGAATGCATAGAGGTAATCCGTGGTCAATAGGCTTTGTCAGGAGTCATGAACAAAGGTAATACAATTGTATGTGACTTTGTAGCATAGGAGTTGTTCTTTTCTTTATCCATTATGTTCTGACAGGTATGGAATTCTCAACTCTAAAACCAGTTTATTTTCTATAAAGAAATAATTCTTAGACTATCAAGAATTAAAATATGGTATGGGAAACACCAGCTAAACTGTACAACCTGTGATAAGAAATTGTTTGGTTACAAATCAAGCAACAATGCTTTCTCTACTCCACATGCAACCTTCATCATGCCTCACCAGTCCATGATGTTAGTAGACAAAGCTGCTGAAAAACCCAGAATGTTGAAACTGATTTCAGTGGCTGTACATAGAGCTAATCCTCCCATGACAGGAATGAGAGAAAGATTCACCAGCAATCCTGTAAGTGGGGAAAAAAAATTAAAAACTGTGAGAATAGATTGTTCTCTTTACAAGTGGTTTAAATTAAAAAAAAAAAACAATTTAACTTTTTAAGTCAAAATTTAAAAAATCATTTTGGGTCAACATAAAAACTGTTTTGCAATTTCAACAAAAGAAAAAAATTGACAAATATTTGTTTCAGATTGAACAAAATGTTCTGTTTTACATAAAACTTTGCTTCGATTTTGAGTGCTTAATATTTTTGTGTTTAAAATTTAAAATGAAAAGCTGCTTAAAATCAAAAAAATCAAAATGCTTCATTTCAAAAATGTCAAAATGAATCACTATATGCAGTATTTTTGTAGCCATGTCGATCCCAGGATATTAGCGAGACAAGGAGTGTATGGTAAAAGCTTTTATTCAACCAACTTCCATTTGTAAAAGAGGCAAGCTTACAATAGCTTTTCTTTATCAGGCCTATTTTTTCCAGAATATATCCTGGTTATTATATATTTTGTATGAAGATATTTTGTGAGGTATCAGTGAAAAAGTCTGTTGAACATTACTATCCTCTTGAAATATACATGTCATAATTGCATAGGAAGTTTGAGATCCTGCTATATGTTTGTTACTGAAATACACAGAGTATGGGAAATGCTCACAGACCAGCTCCTTAGAAATAACAGAAGAACTGTGAACACAAATCCTACATGTCATGCCTCTCTTACCCAAAAGCAAGAAATTGCAATTCACATGAAGGAATGATGCAGGCAATGGGGCTACCTAATCCCATGGCACAGTTGAGAATTTACTAGCATGTGGAAGAGAGTATAAAATAAGGGACAGTGACAGCAGGCCACCTCTCCTCCCCAATCTATATTGAAGACAACAAAATCATTTAAAAGACAGTAACTTCTGAACAGGGGGAATTGTCTTACCTGGAAGAGCTTTCCAGTTAGCACAGATTGATGCAGGCTTTTGCGGTCAGAGAAATTGTCAATTTGACTTAAAAACTAATTCCTAAAATTTATCAAGTTATATATTAATATAAATTCATCTGTTATTTATTATGCAATTTTATCTTTTATTTCATTTTGTAATCAATTCTGATCGTCTATGATCATGCTACTTATAATTATTTAATGTACTTAACTTACTTTATCTAAGCCAATGTTTTTGACAGAAGTTCGGGTAATCTACTCAAGTTACACAGGCTGTTGCATGTTCATGCCCTTTGTTGGAATGACAAACTTAAGTTTATTTTGACCAAAGGGTTCTTGAGCAGAGTGAAATGGAAATTTGGGGTGCATGTCTGGGATAGGAATATGTTGGCATCACCCTGTCTGTAATTCAAGAGTGGTTATGCATAGCACTCAAGTATATATCTGATCGTGACCTGCATGCTAGAAGGCTGGGGTGAGTGGGCAGAGTGACACCTTACACAACAAAGCGGGGCATAATGTTCTCCAGACTGGAGAGATAAAGGAGCACAATGATCCAGATTGTACATAGGGCATATCAAATTAGGGATATAAAATCCTGTTTAATTTAACCAGTTAAACTTCATGTTTAACTAGTTATCTGCAATTAAACAGGGGTTGGTCCAGTTGGCTGGGCTGGAGTGGTCCCTCCATCCACTGTGGCTGGGCTGGAGCAGCCCACTGCCTGCTGCTGCTAAGGGCTGCCTTGGCTAGGCTGGAGTGCCCCTGCCCTGGTGCACCACAGATGGGGGCTGCTCTAAATCCCACCAGTTAACCATAATCATTAGGGGTGAGGCTTTGTGATTAGCCAATTAACCTTTCACGTCCCTGTATCAAATTACCTCACCCATCCTGTCTTTCTAAAATGAATTGTTCCAACTCTGAGAATATTTTTTTTCCTGAAGACAATCAATTCAGCCGACCAGAAAGGAATTCATGAAGTGTTTCTGTATCACTAAATCTGCATTTTCATTGAAAATATTCCATGGAATGGACAACGGTAAGGTACTTCCACAACTACATGTGTCAGATAATACGAATTTAAGAAAACGTAATGAACTCCATCTTAACTTGTTTACCAACAATTCCTCTAATTTCAAAATGAGGATATTTTAATTTCAATCAAAGGAGATTTCAGACTAGCTGGTGACCTGCAATTAAAGATATTTTAGGGGTATTGAGTTACCAGTACATCTGCCCTGCAGAGTTAAATTAAAATTGCCCATCTCCAACTTTGGTTTTCTTGTCAACATCACCAAATAGCAAAAGAAATTGATATTTGCCCCCTTGCTCTGTGACCAGAGTTCCCTGTAAGCTGAGTGCTTGGGCTGCCACTCAGGAGAGATTCAAATGCTATCCAGCTGATTAGCAGAGTGCACATCACATCCACAAACAGCAGCATGTGTTTCTACTGGGGTGCACATCTGCACATGCCTCAGTGCACAGAACAAAGATGGGTAAGAATGGTGTCCCTAGCCTCTGTTTGTCTGGAAATACATGACAGGCGATGGATCACATGATGATTACCTGTTGTGTTTACTCCCTCTAGGGCATCTGGAATTGGCCACGGTCAACAGACAGGATACTGGGATAGACAGACCCTTGTTCTGATCCAGTTCTTATGTAACAAAATTTATTCCACACGTGGATGGAAAAAATTAGCGGGAACATTGCCTGTTATTGTACTAATCCTCCTTCCTCTAGCTTCCTTTAGCCATCTCCCCCTCAGACTTCAGGTCAGGAAGAGTGCACACAGCTGAGTAGGACAAAGTCTCTCAAAGGGAATTCAATTGCAATTCAGTGGTGATTATGAAAAAGGACTTAAGAGGCCAGGTTTACTTTTTTTAGCCTAAGGTGGGTATAAGTGAAGACACTCAAGATTTTTAAAATGCTTGTCAGATCAGCAACTATCCACAAGGGAGGAACATATACATAAACTTCATTTTTTTTAAATGTATCTAAAAACAGTATTTTTTTTTTATCAGAAAGACAAATTTCCAACCAACACTGAACTTATACAAATTAAATCACTACACAGCTCACATGGAATCTCTTTATCAATAGTCAAACAGCTCACACTAAATTACAAAATCATTACATTCCAACAAACTGCTTACCTGTGTATTCTCCTAAAATCATCCGGGACATAATGACAGTAAAAATAGGTGCAGAGCTTTTAACTGTTTCTGCAAATGAAACAGCCACATTTTTCAAGCTTACTAGACCCAAAACCACTGTTGCAAACCTGAAAGAGACATATACAAAGTCAAACAGAGATAATAAAAAATGCTTAAAAAGCAAATGTTAGTTTTAGATGTTTAGTACAGGCAGTCCCCGGGGTTACGTACAAGATAGGGACTGTAGGTTTGTTCTTAAGTTGAATCTGTACGTAAGTCGGAACTGGCGTCCAGATTCAGCCGCTGCTGAAACTGATCAGTTTCAACAGCGGCTGAAT